AGCAACTACCTCTGTCCAACAAGCTAACTTCTCTAAATCCCTTTTTAGACACTCAAGGACTTCTAAGAGTTGGAGGTAGACTCAAGTATTCCTATTTAAATGAAAATCAAAAATTCCCTCTCTCACTACCGAAGAATCACCACATCACCAATTTTATAATCGATGATATTCACAGGAAATACCTACATGCAGGACCTCAACTTGTAATGTCAATACTCAGAAAAAATTATTGGATTTTGGGAGCAAGAGATGCAGTCAAAAAAATCATTAAAAAATGTCTGATTTGTTTAAAATTTAAATCTACTACCATTCATCAAATCATGGGAAATCTACCTCCGGAAAGAATCATCCCATCAAGGCCATTCTCAAAGACTGGCATTGATCTTACAGGACCATTCTTAATAAAGAGAAGCCTGGGCAGATCTAAAACAATAAGCAAATCTTACATTGTACTATTCATTTGCTTTACTACTAAGGCCATTCATTTAGAATTGACAACAAGTTTATCAACTGATTCATTCATGGCCTCGTTGAGAAGATTCATGGCCAGAAGAGGGAAGCCCTCTGACATTTACTCAGATAATGCTACCAATTTTAAAGGAGCATCCAATTTTTTCCGCACTCAGTTTCAATTATTGAACTCTCAATCAGTGCAAAGATTGGTTACAGAGGAATTAATCACTTGGCATTTCATCCCCCCAGGTGGACCTCACTTTGGTGGCCTTTGGGAAGCCGGAATCAAAAGTGTGAAATCACACTTGGTCCGAACCTTTAAATCAACAACCCTGAATTATGAAGAAATGAACACTTTGATTATTCAGATAGAATCTTTCCTAAATTCAAGACCACTGGCCCCTCTAAGTAGTGATCCCAATGATTATGAGGCCTTGACACCAGCTCATTTCTTAATAGGATCTTCGTTTTCAGAAATTCCAACCTCAAACTCTGAAGTCTTAAACTTACAGACAAGATGGAAGCTGATTCAAAAACTAAAAAACTCATTCTGGTCAAGATGGTCCAAGGAATATCTGAGCAACCTCCAAGGCCGTGGTAAATGGCGAATCAAACAAGACAATATCCAAATAGGTCAACTAGTTTACCTCAAAGAGGCTCAAATATCTCCACTTCACTGGCCTTTGGCTAGGATTCGGGAGATATTTCTAGGAGAGGACAAGAATGTCAGGGTAGTCCAGATAAAGACTTCAAAAGGAGTCTTCAAGAGACCCATTACAAAGCTGATTCCATTACCTTTCAAACAATGAAAATTGTAATCTTAGCTACATAGTCGGAATCAATTAGTCCAGCATCTATACTATTGGAACTCTTTTTTTTAATTTTTATTTTTTATTTTTATTTTCTGGTCATCTCTTCCCAGCCGGGGGAGTATGTTGGATCCTGTGATATAATTTTGGAAGTCGGATTTTTCTTTAAATTAAATTTTGTATTAAGCAATTTTTTTAATTTTTATTCTTATATGTAAATAATTGTAAATCCTTTAAAATTTCAATTTTTGTATATTGTTGATGATTCAGTAAGATATGTAAATTTCTATCAGGAATAGAAAAGACTCAATTTAGATAACTAATGTTGTAGCTACTCCTAACTCTAAAACTCAAATAAATCAAATAAATCAAGACAAGTGGTAAAATGCTTCTTTATATCATTTACTGAACATTCAAGCCATAACAATATAATAAGGTTTAGGCAAAAATGCTTACATAATATTTTTTGCATTTTTTTTGCTGTATTTATCCCAATATCAAAAAAAGGCTGTCACGCAAAAACCATGGGTGATGGAAATTTTCTGATTATAATTTTGGGTTCAGCATGAAAAGTTACACTAGAAACACCATCAGGTTCTCTTGGACAAAAATGTTGTTGACCAGTGTAGTCCGAGGCTGTGGATAGATTTCCAAGTGAATATTGTTTGTAGCGGATATCTGAGCCAACAACGTCGAAATACTAGAAGATATCAATAAATAAGTTTGAACCAAGATAGCCTTCATAATTAATGTATATCATATGTATTACTTTTAATCATTCGATAGAGTATAAAGTCTATAGAGTTCCTAGAAACGACCAATTGTTGCCATTGCCGGCCCAGCGCCCGCCGGGGAAGCCTCTATGAACCTCGGGTCTGACTACCTCCTGGTGAAAACTTGTCCTGTCACGACAACTGGCCATAGGTATGCCACCTAGGCCATGGTTTAGCGATGACGATTTGACCATGGGTCATTTCTTAGCCGAGCTGGCGATTGGTCTTAGGCATATCTACTGTTGGTCGTCTTGGCAGGACTCATGACGTCAGGGGTTGATCAGATCGCCATAGGTGAAATGGCTTCCCCAAATTTGAAATAAAAAATAGAACTCTATAATATCAATTATGTGCGCGTGTTGTGAGTGGTATATTGGCGTGTATTGTGAAATTGTATGTGTATAGAGAGCCTGTTGTGAATATGTATTGAGAATGTAAAAGGGGCTATATATCGAAAAGGTATTTAGAGTGTAAATTATAAAACAACAATAAGGTCGATATAAAATAAAGTAACAGTAAGTAAGTAAGTTGTTCTTGCCTTGAATAGCGCCAACTGCTTAGCCAAGGGCCTCTCTGCCCACCACGAGGCAAGATCAATGTCTTTCTCAACTGCCAGAGCTAGAGCTGCAAAGTTCTAGTCCTTCCGCCTTCTTCCTGCCTCTTGACCTCCGCGGACCCAATCCGGCCTAACCTGCCTCTTCCCTAACGGAGATCCTGTCCCTAGCCTCTCCAGCCTAGTGGTTATATATATTTCGCTTTACGCGGCCATTGGGGCTCAAAAATAATTTATTTTGGTTAGCAGCCCCGAAAATAAAGATATTTTCTCTTGCCTTGAATAAATTGCTGAGTTAGCCTGAAGTTTGTCTTTCCTAATTTTCTACCTTGAAAAATAAGAAAAGGATCGTACAAGCTTACAGGCTAGACTTCCTACTTCGGGTACAGAGTTTAAAAAAAAAAAAAACAGTAAGTAAGTAACAAGTGATTACAACACAACAACATATTGAGCTAAATCCATCACACGAGAGAGAGACGTGCCGAGTGCAGTTAAACTCTAGACACCGTAGTCGTCCAAATACACTGTTCAGAAGAGCCACAGACAGTCGATCATCTTCTCTTCAGCTGTCCAGCATTCCTAAGACATAGGATGCAAACAGCTATCCTACTTGGACTGACCCACCTCAATCCTACATCTATGGCCAGCTTTCCTCAAAAATCTTGCGTGATAGAAAAAAACGAATGGTATATTTGGAATCAGCATAAAGAGTTAGCCAAAGCAGAGTGGTCCAATACAGTATTAGAGCTCTGAGAAGCGGTCTGGTGGATTAAATTGGCGAGGCCGCTGGGAGGGTTCACCACTGATGGGCCAGGCCCTCCCAATATGTTTTTTCATCGCAGTGGGGACAGTGGGGGTTCGTTTTGTGTATGAAAGAGACATTCGCGCTTTTGAGTCTTTTTATTTTATAAAGAGTTAAATTTAGATAAGATGCTGTTTCTTTTGGGACAAAGAAAATTAATTTTTGATAAACAAGTGTAATGTAATAAGGTTTATGCAAAAATGCTTACGTAATATTTATTTCATTTTTTGCTGTATTTATCCCAATACCAAAAAAAGGCTGTCACGCAAAAACCATGGGTGATGGAAAATTTCAGATTAGATTTTTGAGTTCAGCATGAAAGGTTACACTAGAAACGCCATCAGGTTCTCTTGGGCAAAAATGTTGTTGACCAGTGTAATAGGTATTTGACCAATTCTGGAATAATCAAAAATCAACGAGAATAGTTGATATTTATTCCGATAGATGGCGCAAGCCATCAGCAAATTTCAATTGCACAATAAGGAGATACCCTTTTTTTTCCTTTATATATATTTTTTATAAAGAAAAAAAGGTATCCTTTTATCGTGCAATTGAATTTGCTGATGGCTTGCGCCATCTATCGGAATAAATATCAACTATTCGTTTAATATCCACTTCAATCTTTATTTACAAGATTTTTCGATGACACACTGTCACATTTTCAAAGGAAAACTAATCCCATAACGTTTATCTTTCTCCAATTAATGAAAATAACGGAAAAAAACGTTTTTCTCAGATCTTCATATTAAATTACGAGAGATAAATATTATGAGATTAAAGTTTACCATGAAAAAGGTGACGGCGAGTCATCAAAACGTAGTGAATAAAGAAAAAGTTTTGAAATAGATAATTAATCTTGTATATTAATACTTTTGGAAATTTTCTCAGAGATATTGATTGTCCTTTTTATAATATTCAGTCTTTATGATCGTTTTTTCCTTCTATTTTATTCCAGGAAAAGGTTCCTGACTTCGTAGAAGAATTTTCTCCCATCTCGTTTATCATCCTTATCCTAAACATTCAATGAAATCATCTTTAAAGAGTTGAGAAATATATAATGATGTAAAATATTTTCTCAATTTGTTGGCTTCTTGCAAGCTACGTGGCAATATATGATTTTAAAAAAATTCTAAATGTGATCAACTGTACAATTATTTTTATAATACCCAAGTACTACCTTATAGTTATATACATGTTAAAAGGTACAACTTCCTTAAGTTTTGTCCATGAGTTTATATTTGGGGAGAAAAAAAAGTATTATTTTCTAATTTACAGTACAATGGCTATAAAAATAATCATTAATAATATTATATATCGCGAATAAAAAACATTTTTTTTCACCCGCAGAGACATCGTGGTAAATCCAGGTATAATAAATTTATTTTCCTCCAATTTACTCATCTAGTTATTAGCTTGATTATCTTAATTAAGTTTTTCTGTATATATAAATTTCATTATAAAACAACACTTAAAGTTTCACCGCATAAGTTTCTTTTCTGTGAAAAATCAATATTTATTTCAAAGAGAAATATTTACTATTTCTAACTTTTTTGGATGAAGTATGAAAGGGTGAAAATATGAAGAGTAATGGCGAACGGAAAAATAAAAGTGTCCAGGGGCGGGAATCGAACCCACAACCTTCCGCTTAACGGGCAGATGCCATGTCCACTAGGCTACCCTGGACGTATTTTTCCGTTCGTAAATAATACTTAAAGTAACTTATAATACATTATAAAGGACTGCGGCGTATGATTATAAACAACACTTAAAGTTTCACCGCATAAGTTTCTTTTCTGTGAAAAGTTAGAAATAGTAAATATTTCTCTTTGAAATAAATATTGATTTTTCACAGAAAAGAAACTTATACGGTGAAACTTTAAGTGTTGTTTTATAATCATACGCCGCAGTCCTTTATAATGTATTATAAATTTCATTATTACCATTAAATGTGATTAGCTTTTAAAATAATAATAACAATGCTTATTACTGGTATTATTACTGTTATTCCTGTATATACTCTACATTTCTGTGTTTGGGGAATCTGTATAAGACTGAAAGGTCTTTAAAAAGCTTTTTGTTGTTGTTGTATATTCCTGTATATACCCTACATTTCTTCTCGAAGAATCTGTATGAGACTGAAAGGTCTTAATAAAGCTTTTTGTTGTTGTTGTATATTCCTGTATATACCCTACATTTCTTCTCGAAGAATCTGTATAAGACTGAAAGGTCTTAATAAAGCTTTTTGTTGTTGTTGTATATTCCTGTATATACCCTACATTTCTTCTCGAAGAATCTGTATGAGACTGAAAGGTATTAATAAAGCTTTTGTTGTTGTTGTATATTCCTGTATATACCCTACATTTCTACTCGGATAATCTGTATAAGACTGAAAGGTCTTTAAAAAGGCTTTTTGTTGTTGTATATTCCTGTATGTAACCTACATTTCTACTCGGAGAATCTGTATGAGACTGAAAGGTCTTAATAAAGCTTTTTGTTGTTGTTGTATATTCCTGTATATACCCTACATTTCTTCTCGAAGAATCTGTATAAGACTGAAAGGTCTTAATAAAGCTTTTTGTTGTTGTTGTATATTCCTGTATATACCCTACATTTCTTCTCGAAGAATCTGTATGAGACTGAAAGGTATTAATAAAGCTTTTGTTGTTGTTGTATATTCCTGTATATACCCTACATTTCTACTCGGATAATCTGTATAAGACTGAAAGGTCTTTAAAAAGGCTTTTTGTTGTTGTATATTCCTGTATGTAACCTACATTTCTACTCGGAGAATCTGTATGAGACTGAAAGGTCTTAATAAAGCTTTTTGTTGTTGTATATTCCTGTATGTAACCTACATTTCTACTCGGAGAATCTGTATAACACTAAAAATTCTTTAAAGCTTTTTGTTGTCGTTGTTGTATATATCGCAAAAAAAAGGTTTTTATTCTAAACTTTGCGATATGAATCAATAAAAAATATTTATTTAAAATAAATTGGTTGGCCGGGACAAGGCGTACATTGAAGAAAGCAATTTCTCAGGAGCAACAAAGGCCGACGGTAGATTATACCGGGCCATAATCTGCATCAATACTAAGGAGGGATTATAGCTTCTCTGGCTTAGCTCGGCTCTTTTCAACTTCAGACAATTCCCTCCTTTTCTCCAAACTTTTTTTTATCGGCGTGGAAAGTGATCAAATTTTACAATGGCATCAATAACGTATCTTCACATTTACGTTGAATAGAGCAGTATATATATACACATCTTCATTGAGAAATTTTCTAAAAGAAAACTACAGTTTAAATACACATTGTGTACATTCTATCATAAGTTATAAAATAAATGAAGCTTCCAGGGTTAAGTTTCTTATGCAACTTTTTATTTTCAAACTTTCGGACTTGTCAGTCCTTCAACAGGATTATCACGTTAACAACTTAATAATAAATACAATTTTTATATATACATTATTATATACATATTTTAAATATTTATTATAGATTGAGATAAAAATATATTACATTATTTCTGTTTGAAATACAAAATGTTTGAAAATATACGTGTGTGGTGGATGATACGTGCTGGTTGAATGATTTCTCGAGACTTCCAATTAAATTTAATAAATTCATAAACTATTGTGTATCCTAAGTGACAATGACAATGAAACAGACTTTATTGACCGTTCAGTCAATGGCTACACTCAAAGAGTCAATGGGAAAAAAATTACAATTAATTAATTACAAATATCCTGACTCTGTCAGGAGCCCAGGCCTGAGCACGGACAATTCCTGATGGAATTTTTTTCAATAGGGTGTCCTCAGGGAGGGTCTGGATCATAGGATGGCAAAGCAGCCCTGAACTCCGAAAGTCTCCTACGGATCAAGGGAGCCGAGTCCCGAGTGCGCTCGATGAGCCCATCTAAGTGTATCCTAAGTGTATGTGCGTGTTTTATATGTGTTGTATTTATTATGGATATATTGTTTGATGTGTTGTGTATATGAGAGTATTTATTGTATGCATGTAGATTGTATATGTCTTTTTTGTCGTTTATATATTGTACAAGGTGAAGGAGTTTTTAGTTAATGAAGGAGTTTTTTAATTAATGATTTTATTCAATCATACAAATATTACAATTATAACATAATAGAAAGAAAAAATAATGGGAAATACAGCAATCAAATTATATATGTGCTATCGAACAAAACAACAACATCAGAGTAGTCAAATATCAATAAAATGTCATCAATGATAATAAGCTTGGAAATTAAATCCAACACAAGGTTGTCCTAAAAGTTCGTAAACGCTTGAAAAAAATGTTGAATACCAATATTATTCACCATAATAATATTCGCCGTTATGTATAATGTATTTGTATTATGTATAAAGTAATTGTATTATTATGTATTCGACGTAATAATATTATTCTCCAAGTAATAAAAAAACACGAACTTTTGGGACAATCTTATATATATTAATATGGTATATGTAAATATATAGCGCGCCATTTGTTATAAGAATTATAAACTATTTTGACGTGTATTTTGTTACTTGCGTTCACACGGGTGAGTTTGAATTTTTGTAAGAACAATTGGTCATTAATATATTTTACTAGAAGAATGACCCGGCTTCGCCCGAGAAATCCCCCGAGTGAAGTATCCTTCATACTGAAAGTACATCAATAATAAATAGTAGAAGTGCCATAGAATAGCAATACAGAAGAAACACATAAACTAAAGGGAAAAAAGTGTGTAATGGCAAAAATTGTATTATATTAGTGTTTAGGTATTTGATTTAATTATTTTTTTGCAATCCATTTAGTTGTTTCAAAATTAATATAGTTTAAATAAATGAGTTTTAAAAATTGTAAAAAAAAAAAAATGCATCGGCCGGGAATCGAACCCGGGCCGCCCGCGTGGCAGGCGAGCATTCTACCACTGAACCACCGAAGCTTATAAGAAATGGCCATATTTGGGTATTTATTCCATTCACAAAAGCAAACGGTGACAGAATTGATTAAGAATTGATTGATGACTCTGATACTTGTATATATATTTTATCTTTTCAGATAAAAGTGCCCATTACGAGATTTGATCTTGGGTCATAGCTGTCGAAAAGTGACATTTTATACCATCGCGCACCTACCCATGTTTTTTAGTAAAAAACACAAATATCCTAGATGAGGAGACGTAAAATTACCCTTCGAAATATTGGACTGATAAAAATTAAAAATCCAATAAATGCAAATGATATATTTATAGAATAATATTTAGTGAAAGTTTTCGGTTGGATTTTGATTATTTCAAGTTATATACTAACCTCCTTCAATGTCTTCCTCTACTGAGGGTAGGCTCTGTGAATTAAAAAAAATTGTACTGCCCTTATTGCAATGATTAAATAATAGGAGGTTCTGGCTCATCAGTGATAAACCCTCCAAATATACCCTTTCCAAGAGTTTAATATCAGTATCGGTATAAAAGGGAAATACCCAAATTCAATATTACAGCAGTTTTGTAGATTAAACTGGCGAAACCACTGGAAGGGTTCACCACTGATGAGCCAGGCCTCTCATTATTTTATCATTACAGTAAGTGCAGTAGAATTTTTTTAACTAAAAAAAGGATCATATCCGTCAAAAAAATTATATATTTCTTATATATTAATTTCAGGACTCGAGACACCTACTGCTGGAATGCCCACTCTTCTTCACCGCTAGACAACAGACAATGTTGTAGATCTATATCAATTTGTTAATAGCAGAGAGAATTAATATAAGTTCAACTATTTTTGTAAATATATTTATGATTTTCTTTCAAACCTGAAAGGTTCAGGTTCTTAATATATATTATTGTTTCTCTTTTTATTTCGATTACTTTTTTTTGTACAATATGTTTATAACTGTTTCTGTTTAAAAAAATATATAAATCGACGCAATTATCCCTAGCCGGGATATCGCGTTTTGTGTGTTGAAATAAATAAAATAAATAAATATATTGTATATGTTGTGTAAGTGTTGCATATGTGTTTGTGTTGTGTGCTGTGTTGGTTAAACATGAGTGATGTAAATGTGGACATTGTAAATATATTTGTTGGACTTCTGTTGTATATATATATATATATTGTTTGAGTTACAACAACAACAACATCAAAAAGCCTTTATTTAGGGTCACTGACCCTATACAGGATTCACCAGAGGTATGCATAAGAACAAAGCAGTGAGACAAAGGAAACAACGATATAGACAGAAGAAAAATAACTAAAAAAAGAAAAAAAAAACAAGAAAGAGAAAGAGGTAAGCAAGAAAAACAACACAAAAAGAGTAGCAGTAAGAAAGTGAGGAGTGAGTGTCACTTGGCCTTCTTCTGAGATATGGACTTGTGGAAACCATAAAACGCCGTAGCAATTAACTTATTCTGGGTCATATTGTCAATTATTGATAGAAGTGAAGCACAGAGTTGCCCAGTTTTTGAGCATAATTGTTTGAGTTATGTATATGACTAGACCGCTCTACTATTGTATTGGATTGGTTTGGGATATACACTGCATTTTCTATGGAAGGCAGCTTAGGGGTGTTTAGTAAACCTATGGACATAAGCTTGTATTGATTGGTGTAATCAATAATATTGTAACATTATTATATTAGCAGAGTATTATTTTTAATGTTTATATTTTGCTATACTCTGTACACTTC